GAGGGTGAGTGACGGTTGTGAGAGGTGATTAGTGAGTGGTGAGGGTGAGTGGTGAGGGTTAGTGGTGAGCATGAGTGGTGAGGGTGAGTGTTGAGCGTGAGTGGTGAGGGTGAGTGGTGATTGTTGAGGGTGTGATTGGTGAGGATGAGTGGTGAGTAGTGAGGGTGAGTGGTGAAGGTGAGTGGCGGTTGTGAGTGGTGATTAGTGAGGGGTGAGCGTGAGTGGTGAGTGGTGAGGGTGAGTGGTGAGGGTGAGCAGTGAGGGTGAGCAGTGAGGGTGAGTGGTGATTGGTGAGGGTGTGATTGGTAAGGATGAGTGGTGAGTGGTCAGGGTGAGTGGGGAGGGTGAGTGGTGAGGGTGAGCGGTGAGGGTGAGTGGTGAGTAGTGAGGGTGAGTGGTGAGCGTGACTGGTGAGTGGTGAGGGAGAGTGGTGAGGGAGAGTGGTGAGGGTGAATGGTGAGGGTGAGTGGTGAGGGTGAGTGGCAAGTGGTGAGGGTGAGTGGTGATTGGTGAGGGTGTGATTGGTGAGGATGAGTGGTGAGTGGTGAGGGTGAGTGGTTGTTGTGAGGGTGAGTGGTGAGTGGTGAGGGTGAGTGGTGATTGTTGAGGGTGTGATTGGTGAGGATGAGTGGTGAGTAGTGAGGGTGAGTGGTGAGGGTGAGTGGCGGTTATGAGTGGTGATTAGTGAGGGGTGAGTGGTGAGAGTGAGCGTGAGTGGTGAGTGGTGAGTGTGAGCAGTGCGGGTGAGTGGTGATTGGTGAGGGTGTGATTGGTGAAGATGAGTGGTGAGTGGTCAGGGTGAGTGGTGAGGGTGAGTGGTGAGCGGTGAGGTTGAGTGGTTGTTGTGAGGGTGAGTGGTGAGGATGAGTGGTGAGGGTGAGTGGCGGTTGTGAGTGGTGATGGGTGAGTGGTGAGCGGTGAGGGGTGAGTGGTGAGCGTGAGTGGTGAGGGTGAGTGGTGAGGGTGAGTGCTGAGTGGTGAGGGTGAGTGGTGAGAGAGTGGTTAGTTTTGAGGGCGAGTGGTGAGGTTGAGTGGTGAGGGTTAGTGGAGAGTGGTGAGTGGTGATTGGTCAGTGGTGATTGGTGAGGATGAATGGTGAGTAGTGAGGGTGAGGTTGAGTGGTGAGGGTGAGTGGTGGTTGTGACGGTGAGTGGTGAGGGTGGGTGGTGAGGCTGAATGGTGAGGGTGAATGGTGAGAGTGGTGAGTGGTGAGGGAGAGTGGTGAGGGAGAGTGGTGAGGGTTAGTGGTGAGGGTTAGTGGTGAGAGTGAGTGGTGAGGGTGAGTGGTGAGGGTGAGTGGTGAAGCTGAGTGGTGAGGGTGAGTGGTGAGGGAGATTGGTGAGGGAGATTGGTGAGTGGTGAGTTGTGAGGGTGAATGGTGAATAGTGAGTGGGAGTGGTGAGTGGTGAGGATGAGTGGTAAGGGTGAGTTGTGAGTGGTGAATGGTGAGGGTGAATGATGAGTACAGTCAATATGCACTGCTGTTATCATACCAGGTACCACCACCACAATATGTACTCCTCTCATCATAGCAGATACCACCACAGCAGTATGCACTGCTGTAATCATAGCAGGTACCAACACAGCAGTATGCACTGCTGTAATCATAGCAGGTACCACCAGTCAGTATGCACTGCTGTAGTGATAGCAGGTACCACCTCAGTCGGTATACACTGCTGTAGTGATAGTAGATACTGCTATCGAGTTGGTAGATACCGCTATAGTAAATACTAAAACAGTCAGTATATACCACTACAGTCAGTCAATACTGCTACAGTCAGTATATACTACTATACAGTCAGTACATACTACCATGGTGAGTAGCTACTAGAGTCAGTAGATACTATTATAGAGTGAGTAGATACTGCTATAGATTTTGTAGTTACTACTATAGTCAGTGGATACAACTATAGAGTCAGCAGATACTATACAGTTAGTCGTTACGAGTATATAGTCGGTAGATACTACTGTAGGCCCAGTAAATACTACTATGGTTAGTAGTTATTACAGTCACTAAATACTACTACACAGTCAGTAGCTACTGGCTCAGTAGATACTACGGTACAGTCAGTAGATACTACTACAGAGTCAATAGATACCACTTCCTCTGTTGTATGTAAGGTGTTGTTAGTATATATACCTACGAGGGGTAAAGATATTTTTTGAGGGGGGGTGGGGGAGACCACAATTTTCGGAAACCTTTTGACATCAACTATTTACCCCACACTTTCTACAATTTTTTGGACTTGTGAAAGCCGCTTATATATTTGTTGGTGGAGAAATGTACAAACAGCCCACCGGGCTTTGACAAGACCTTAGTATCTGTGTATATATATGTAAGGTTTTTAAGAAATATATTTTTCACCCGGGCAAAGCCGAGTACTTCCGCTAGTACCTTATACATTGTAATATTGCACTATGTATTATTCTACCCACCCTAATGTATATCACACTGCTGTATATTGACTATACAATTACGATACTATATATTACTTTGTACATTGTATTAAGCATATAAATGTTATACTATTTGTTATTATACACTGTACCATTGACCGTCGTGTGAAAGATACTAAGAGGAAGCAACGAAATATGTCAATGGGAGAGTAGTGAGGGAAACTTGCAGCGCAGCAAAGAATCCATTCCCTGTGGAGAATACAATGACAGTGAGTGAAAGTCACCGTAAACGTGAACACAATCAGTTAAGATTGTGTTTACGTTTACGGTGACTTTCAGACCCCGTTCCACTCACTGGCATTGTATTCTCCGCAGGGAATGGATTCTTTGCTCCGCTGCAAGTTTCCTTACACTACTCTCCCATTAACATATTTCGTTGCTTCCTCTTAGTATCTTTCACACGACGGCCAATGGTACAGTGTATAATAACAAATAGTATAAAATGTATATGCTTAATACAATGTACAAAGTAATATATAATATCGTAATTGTATAATATTACAATGTATAGCAATACAGTATGTAATTTAATGTTGGGTTTGTCTATGGCAGTATATAGTACAGTGTAGACTCGTGTGATGTAAGAGAATAAAGCTTAGATGGAAGCATATTATATTTTTTACGACGTAGAATTGTAATGTATTACTTACTGTTAGTAACTCAGCTTATTGTAGAGTATATTTAGTATACTGATGATACTATGTAGTTTATACTTTAGTTGTTTACGTGGTGGTTTTAGTTACTGCAGCTACATACTATTAACACTCCTTCCCTTTATTAATGCTACCCCTATCCCCTCCCTTTGATGCTGCTAATCCTGCATAATGCACGGGCATAAGTAGTACTAATCACATACCTGCATTTCCCATATCCCCTCCCTTTGATGCTGCTAATCCTGCATAATGCACGGGCATAAGTAGTACTAATCACATACCTGCATTTCCCATAAATATGCTAAATTCCTCTTGATATGCAAATTAGTTTGTCAAGGCACCCTTTCCCCCCCTTCTAACCCAGCTTAAATATATGCTCCGAGCATGGTGCGGTTTCATTCAGATGCTGTCGCCTCGACAGACCTGGTTTTCACCTGAGGATGGCTGCTTGCGTTGTGGCCGAAACGTCGTGAGAATTATTTTATTATGCTTTATTTTTATTATTTTATTACTTCCCTTCTACGTGACTTTACCTAAAGAACCAAGAAGATACCTTCCACAATTTACGATTTACGCAAATCGGATGTACATTATATGCCAGTGTTTCTTTAGGTTAACAGGAGAAACAATTCAGTACAAACTTGAACCTATAACCTATGTAACACAAATAGGAGTCATATTCATCATGAGCTATGTTTAATCCACTGCTGAATGAAAGCCTCCCCATACCATCACCATCCCGCATTGTCCCATGATGGTACCATCCATCTCACTCCTGCCCATGCGCTGTCCTCATTGCCCAACCTCTGTTGCGATCTCGCGCATGTTCTCTAATCGATAATCTCCCTTCACGAGACTTAAACCCAAGGCTCCTGAGAAAAGACGTGAGCTCTTTCCTGGATTCTTTTTCTGAAAGTGTTTATTTTCCTGCTCTTAACCTGTGTGATACTTTTACAATAGTTCTTGATTTCCCCACTATGAAGAAGAGCCATTGTCCAAACGGTTGCCTATATTTGTTTATTTTTATGGGAGTGTTTTTGATTAATGAGATTTTATAAGATAATAGGTTGATGCATATATTATCAGAGTATGTTTTTGTTTGCATTCTGACCACAAGTGTTGTGGTTAATGCAGACATCATTCCTTGTAAAAGGTTTCAGTTTGGTGTTTTAACATCTTAACACCTGTTTTGTTGCCAGAAAAAAAGGGGAAAACCTATTCTGGCAAAGGAGGTCCCATGATGAGATTTTGTAATTTGAAGAATTAGAGAATGATTAACCTCCTGTCATATTTATCAAAAGTTTATAAAGATGATAGACAACCAAACAATATACAATCTAGACACTTTGTGCTAATGAACCACTGCCAAGATAGCATCAATGAAAACTTGAACTCTTCAAGTTAGGTTTGTCTCACTTGTTTAATAGGACAATAATTGAGGCATAATTCTAGATTGAGGTATTTATTTTGTATAAAGATTTAATAATATCATTGATTCTGCTTTTCTTTTATAATGTCCATGGCTATTCCATCTGGTTCGTGAATTTTCCTATTGTCATACAAAAAGCAATAGTTGTTACCCTTCAAGGGTGAAAATAAATCACAGAAAAGCTTCCGAGCCACAATGGCACTGCTTCGAAAAACTACCAACAGCTACACAACTGAAACTCAACTGAAACAAAATGACCAAGGGTATAAAAATGCATTGTCACCGAACATCTCACCGCTGGCACATAGAATGATGGGTGAACCTGAATTTTTTTAATCACCTTCGAACGGGATTCAGCAGTTCACAAGTCAATTTGCGGAAGTGGGGATACTGGAATGACGAGCAACAGAATATCTGCTATACAACAGCCTACTAATAACAATTCAAACATGTTACATTACCTGAATTCATGTAATTCAAGGATTTAACAGCGATATCTGGCGTTGTCTGGTGGGACACGTCCAGATACATCCGGATGTAGATTCCCGGTGCAAAGTTGATCATGTTCTGCTCCCCGCAGCCGTACGGCATCTGAATGAGCTGGTCCAGCCCAGTGAGGGAGGGCCCAATGATGTCTCCTGCACGTTTCACACATTACCTGATGTGGTGGTTGGTGGAGCACTGAGCAGTAGCTACTGAATACTTGTGGATGCCATTGACTTACTTGTGGCTGGCTCATCTGCACCTAATTCATATAAATCGACCTATCTAGCTGATGTTTTGCACGTAATCACACTTTTTATTCAGACGTGGTCATATGCTGCTACCAGATGGCTCAATTTTCATTATGTGTTTGCTAACAACAAATAACACAATTTTAAAAGTTAACGCATACATATTCCATTTAAAGTTCTTTATTACATGGAAAAGCAATTTCCCATTATTTATCCAACTATGGCAATACTCAGAAAAATCTTGTAGTCAGCCCTGATGTAAAATCATATATAAGCAAAAACACCAATAATAGCAATCTGGATATATCTGTGAGAATGAATCGGCATGGTGCCCAATGGACATGTACCGTAGATGTAAAGGACGGCTGAACTGCTTCCTTGTACAATGTTGGGTGGGAAATTGAACACAAATGATCTTGTGAAATTTGTATTATCATAAAGGCTGAGGAGGGCACTCTCCGAGTACGTTTGTGGGAAGCCTGGGTACTGCATGATGGGAAAAACACGACACAAAAGATTACAGCACTTGTCAGACACTGAGACAGAAAATTCGTCAACAACACGGCCTTAAAATAAATAACTAATATGCTACATTTAGGCAACAGCCCTTGTTCACAGCACATATAAAAGGAGGCCAGAGAGATAACACGGATTGCAGACTGCACTTTACACCATAGGACCTAATGATAATACACAAAAATCTGATGCGCAGTTTTAAACAGGCAGATTAATAGTTACCGAATAATATACATTAAGTACGGGACAAACCCTACAATTTTAAAAATGTATTACGCTATAAACTAGTTTATGTTCAAATTATAAAATGTTGCTGTCACCTTGCATTGGTGGAAGGTTTGTTCTTGTGTGAACAAGGCACAATCCTTCCAGAAATACATTCCTGGGCCCAATCACCATTTCAATAAAATAATAATAAAAATAATTAAATAATGCTGGTAACCTACATTCCTGAGATAGAGAAGTCTGATCAAATTAATGTGAGGTACACCCATGAAACAAAAATTTCTGACAGAAGATGTTGCATGAAACTATCGAGGCATTTAGCCATTTCTCTAATGTAGTTGAGGCCACAGTGTTTGCGTGCGATGTAATGAACCAAATTTGTGTAAGTAAACTTATTGTGAATCACAAATGGTGCTCCGGGTGTATTTGCGGATTGGTTATGTGAACATACATGTGTTGCAAATTCTCTGATTGGATGGGAAGATCCCTAGTATGCTATTATTTCTAGTGTTTCGCATTAAGTTGTGAAATAGCAGGTACCTGATATTTGTGTTTTTAGAAATAAATAAAAGGGCAGCGATCCGATCTTGGAACCCCAGTAACAGGTTTGCATGTTGCTGAGGATATTTGTGAGATCTTGGAGGAGGGGAAACCCCTCATCTCAAGATAACTTGGGGCAAAGTAGAGTTTACCTTAATGGGGCTACCATGCCTCGGATATTGGAGGAAGTAGGTGCTCCCTGCGAGTGGCTGGCTAATGTGCCATCTATTGAGGAAGTGTGAAGGGAAATACAGAACCTAAGTCCAGATAAAGTGCTGGGCAGCGCTTACGTCCCAAGAGAACGGTTGAGGGTGGGTGGCAATTGTGTGTTGACATAATCACAGCTAACTGGACCATAAGACTGATACCACAGATTGGAAGGACGTAGATCCTCTTTTAATAAGGGGGGCCATAAAAATTCTAACAACTCCCTCCTTGGTGTGACTGCTCAATGTAACTTTCATTCTTTTATATTTGGTTACTGTTTTTATATGCATGGTTGCTTATGAAATTTCAACAATCATGATTTGTTTATGAAGTATTCACAGAAATTCTGCAAATTATTACTAAATGGAAGAGCTGAACTCCCACATGAAACGAAGTGGAATGAGACATTATTCCCTTTCAGTGCTCCCTTCACAAGCCATGCCTTCATGGCATGATTAACACAACCCAATTTTCAATCACTGCAGACAGCACGTGGCCCCATTGCAGCTGTATGTGAGAACATGCACGCACACTAGCACACACTTACCTTGACCAATGTGTATCCCACCACTGTGTAATCCACATTTTGGTAGGAGACAACTACAGCGAAGGAAACTTTGCCGTCAACATTCAGAGAAACCGGGAAGAAGGCAGTGGCAGAATTCTGACCGGACACATTCAAGCTTCGTTCATTGGGGGAGAGACCGTTGCTTTGGAACAGAATCGTGAAGTTTTCATTCTCCATCAGTTTTGCAAGGACCTAGAAATCAATAGGTAAATACATAATGGGAGGAATAACGTCAGGATCAGATTAAAATGATTCTCACAATAAAACATCTAAATTATTAAAACCAATTAAAGATTAACGTAAGCCCTGCAATTGCTTGTGCACACCACTGCTGGCAGAAAGGCCTCCTCTGGAGAAAGCGCTATCGGGCCCCTCTGGAGAGCACAGTTGATAATCGATTATCCAGTTTCCAACATTATCTGGCTGTCCCACGGCCGATCCGGCGAAACCGGCAAAACCGCTCTAAAGGCCGTAGCCAGTCCGGTGATCGGCACCATGTGCGTGACAAAAAAAAGTAGCCCTGCTTGATTTCAGTGTTAAATATTAAATAAAGTTCATTATACACTACGTATAATTCGAAAAAAATGAAAATACTGCATGTAAATTATTCACCACATGCAAAGTCTTCGAGATTGGAGTGGTAAGTACGGTACAGTAAATACAGTAACTTCGTACAGGGTATTTATTTGTGTCTATTTGTATGTCTATTTATGCCATTTTCACCGAATACATGCATTTAAAACACAAAAAAACATAACAACACATAAAAACATGTCATTCAAGAATGTGAAAAAAATTCGATATTATTAAATAATGATGTGATTATCCGGCGTTTTTTTTAAAATCCGGCTCCCCCTCGAAGGCACCGGATAATCGATGTAACGTTCCGGTACTACATTTGGCCTCTTCCATGCTGACCAAGTCTTGGAAGAGGCATAAGTACCGAAACGTTATTTATATACTATACATTTATAAAATTATTTTAAATTATAATTCACAATGTTGAGTGCCAAGGTTTGTGAAACTGTAAATGTGTTAATTGATCGTAAAGGTGCCTCATTGTTACCTGAGCTGTCTGTGTCTGCTTGTTGAAGACTGTTGCCTCCACAATGAACTCTTCTCCAAGAAATGTAACGCTGGGTACATTTATGGTGACTTGCAATGGTGAGGTCACTTCAAACTGACAACAATAAGCATACATTTTGATTTAAACTTTCGTGACTGCAGGAATTCATATTCTTTGGTTCTTTCGGTAAAGTCACATAGATGGAAAATATTAAAAGAAAAAGAAAAAAAAGTAAAAACATTTTTTTATAAAAACCAAAAACTCACGACGTTTCGATCGCAACACAAGCGTTCGTCATCAGATGGAGAGACATGGGCGGCAAGCCTCCAACTGCAACTGTTTATAAAGGCTTGAAATGGGTGCAGCCCAAGTGTCAGAAGGAGTGGGGACAAGTGCTGCGGGGCAGCCTGAGTGGACGAGCCAAAGCTGTGAGTGGGTGGGGCACAAGAGCCGTGGAGCCAGCCCTGAGCGGCGAGCGGTGCAGTCCAAGTGTGTCAGCAGTATGTGCTGGGCAGGCAATGCAGGAGAAGACAAAGGGGGAGAGACAGGGAGAAAGAAGGGGCAGAGATAGTTGGAGAGAGAGGGGGAGAGAAAGGGGGGGGGAGACAGGGGGCAGAGATAGGGGAGAGAGAGAGGAGGGGAGAGATAGGAGGGAGAGAGGGGATATTGATAGAGGGAGAGAGAGGGGGGAGATATATGAGGGGAGAGAGACGGGGAGTAGAGATATAAGGGGGAGAGAGAAGGGGGGGGGAGAGAGAAGGGGGGGGGTAGAGATGGGGGGGGAGAGAGAAGGGATAGAGATATGGAGAAAGAGAGGGGGGAGAGATGGGGAGCATTGCGCCTTGCTCCACACATCCACGCTGCTGACGGTGGAGGTTGACACGAAATTACAAACGAAGTCATGACCTAAAGTGGTTGTTAACATCTTTCCAATGATTTCCGAGTTCATAACCGTCTTCTCATTTGAAATTGTCTGTCTATATATGTGGATGACTTCATGAACAAATCTTTGTTGATAGCCAGTAGGCTTGCAAAATACCATCGTTTTTGAGAAATACATTGTGTAAGCCAGCCAAATAAAAATAATGATCAGCCACAGCAGAAGTATTGGTCCTACCATGTTTGAAAATGATTTCTCTAAAACTATGGTACTTTGCAAGCCTGCTGGCTATCAACAAAGTTTCGTTCATGAAGCCATCCACATATATCGACACAGACACAAATTCAACCGATAAGATGGTTATAAACTCAGCAATCATTGGAAATATGTCATCAACCACTTTGGGTAATGACTTGATTTGTAATTTCTTGTCAACCTCCACCGTCAGCATTGTGGATGTGTGGAGCAAGGTGCAATACCCCCATCATCACTACCCCCTCTCTCTCCCCATCTCTCTCTCTCGGTGCATGCTGGGAAAAGGGTGTGTCTACCTGTGCTCCTGGAGAAACAGTACCTGCCAGTGAGGGCCTAGTTTCATGTACGCATCCTAGCCTCACCTAACTTCGTTTTTTGAACTTTCCAGCGACCTCTCTAAATCTCCGAGCACCATCGAGTGCTCATCTTCTCTCCTCCACCTCTGTGAGTGCCTCCAACAACACAGGGTCGTGCTGTCTCACTCCTCTTTATCTCTTTCTCCTCTCTTCACACTCGTTTACTCGGCAGGCCTGCGGCCTACTCACAGCTCTGCACCCATTACATTTTCCTCCCCCCTCTGTTGCATCCTTCCTATTCTTCTGCTTTACTGCAAACATAAAAATCGCTCCTTTTTTTCTCACTCCTCTCCTCTCTGCTCTGTTCTCCACCTCTCTCTGCACTGCTGCTCCCCTGCCCCCCCCAGCACCCGTCACGCCACGGGACGCTCGTGACAACACCTGTTCACTGCCCCCCTCTCTCCTGTCTCCACCCTGCGCCCCCACTCTTATTTCCCACCCATCTCTTCTTGTCTTGTTCTCTCCTTTCATTCCTGCAGCTAACGAAGGTTATTTATTTGTTTATTGAACTATTTATTTATTTCGGCAATGCCACGCCATGCTGTTCCGGAGGTTCCTGAAACCCCCCAACACGGACTGTTCTGCTTCCCGCCTCCTGAGATAAAGGTGGACGACGTGATAGAAGCCGCTGGACAGTGTGTGGGGAAGCGAAACATCATCGCTGCGGCCCCCATGAACCGTGGCTACGTGGTCCTCTTCACCAACGCGGAGATGGTGGCACGTGTCATCGCCACGGGGCTCACTTTCAAGGGGGAGATATTTGTGCAATGCACACCTCTCTCCTCCCCCGCGCGAAAAGTGCTCATCTCCAACCCACCACCTTTCCTCAAAACTGCCGACCTACAACGAGATCTTGAGCGGTTCGGCAAAGTTGTGTCCCGAATAATTATGCTGCCCTTGCGCACACGGGACCCAGAAATGGCGCACGTCTTGTCGTTTAAGAGACAAACTTTCATGATTTTAAACGGCAACAACACGGAACTCAACGTGAACTTTAAGTACACTTCGGAAGAATACACCTACACCGTGTACGTGTCCACCGCGTTGCCACGCTGCTATGTGTACGGTGGCTTCGGCCATGCCCGTGCAAACTGCACGGGGAAACCAAAAGGGAAAAACATGCAGCCTGCAGTAAACGCCACGCAACAGCAGCAGCAGCGCCAGCAGCAACAGCAGCAGCGCCAGCAGCAACAGCAGCCACAACAGCCTCAGCAGCGCCGGCAAAAGCAGCTACAGCAGCAGTCGCCGCAGCCCGCGCAGCAGCAGCAACAGCAGGAGCAGCAGCAGCCGCAGCAGCAACCGCAGAAGAAGCGGCAGCAGCCACAGCAGCAGCAGCCACCACTGCACGAGTGCCAGCTGTTGCAACAGCAGGACGCTGAAGCGGCGGCCGGTTGTACAAAGCCGCCCACCGATGACGAGGATGCCGAGGGCTTCACCCTTGTCACCTCCCGCAAGCGCAGGGTAAAACCCGCCCTCGGCGGAGGAGGCCACGCGGCCCCTAACCCTGAGCGCGCGGCCACCGCCAGATCACGAGCCCTACCCAAAACTCGCAGAGCAGGACGACCAACCGCCCCCCTCGAGCGCCATCCCAGACGCCGTTGCAGGGGGTCAATATGAAGACATGCTCGATGACGACCCGCCTGAGGACAGCACGGTGGGACAAGGGCCGCCAACACCCCCGCTGAACACCGCCACAGCATCCTCAGAGCAAGAGGAACCACCAGACGGTGCGGCGCCTGAAGGCACCACACTGCAGGAAGGCGAGGAAGGCCGGCTCACCTCACCCGAAAGAAGAGCAAAAGACCCTCCACTACCAGAGGACAGCCACCCTCTTCCTAATGAGGCCCTGCCATCGCCAACGGCAAACGAGGCTTTTGCCGAGTCACAGTATGACGAGCTGGAGAACTCGGACGACGAGGTGTCAGAGACCGAAGGAGAAGACACCATGAGTGAGTCCAGCTACTCACAAGTCAACAGCAAGTTCGATTGCACACCTGGGGGCATCCAAAACTTCCTCGAGAAAACTTTCAGGAAGCGTAAAGTTAAGGTCAGGGCCCATTTCACTGACCTCACCGCTTTCCTCAAAGCGTCCCAACAAATTTGCCGTAACAGCGACAGTTTGGGTTTCTCGGCTCAGGAATGCTACCGGCTAAAAGCGTTCATGTGCAAGGCGAAGAAGGAGCTTTTCTGCCCAGAAGTAACCCAACCTCCCGCAACTACTGTTAACACTACCACCATCACCACCACAAAACTACATGATGGCTTCAGCTATTAAGGTTGCTAGTCTGAACTGTAACAGCGCTCGCAGTTACAAGAGGTGGGACCAGATCTGCCGCTTGGTCAGGGAACACAAAGCAGATGTGACTCTCCTCCAGGAAACCCACCTCGACGCCACTCTGGAGGCCCAACGCCAGCCTTTCCTAGGTGGCCGGGCCTTCTTCAGTCATGCCGAGGACAACCTCGCCGGCGTGGCAATTGTGCTCAGTTCGCGGTTTGCACCAGAGAATGTCTCCTTCAAAGAAATCGTCAAAGGTCACTTGATTTCTGTGGAATTCGTCCTGAATAAATCCAGCCTCATGTGCTTTAACGTGTACGCGCCGAGCAAGGCCCCCGAGAGGAAGCTCTTCTTCGGCGCTCTGCGGGACGCACTCGCGACAGACGACGTGGACGACGTGCTCACCGTCGTGGGGGGAGACTTTAACTGCACCCGGCTCTCGACCGCAACACTGCCGAACCTCACCCTGAATCCGCACGGCCGCTAGCTGACCTCGTGCGGAGACTGGATCTGCGTGACGTGTGGCGACTACAGCATCCAGCCCAGCGGCAGTACTCCTGGTGCCGCTGCAGCTCTCAAGGCAGGATAAGCCTTGCCAGGCTCGACCGACTGTACGTCAATGCCAGCAGCGTTAACCTGCTCGGGGACAGCAAAATCGTACCCTCCGGTTTTTCAGATCACCACCTGGTCTCTGTGCTGCTGCGAATTCCCAGAGCGGAGCAACACAGCGCCTACTGGAGACTCAACGTACAGCTGCTTGATGACACCGACTTCAGAGAAACCTTCAACGCCTTTTGGACTCAGTGGCTGCCTGCCAAAGGAAGCTTCAGCTCCCACCAACTATGGTGGGACAACACAAAGGCGCAGGTCAGGGTTCTCTGTCAGCAGTTCATGAGCCAGCATGCCGCCGCCAAGAACGAGGTGGCGCCAACTGCAAAACGAGCTGCTGGCACTCGAGGCAGAGCTAAGCTCATCCCACGACACGCAGCAGGGTGAGACGTTACTGGAGAAGCAGCGGCTTTTCAGGTCCATCACAGACGAGCAGGCACATCGTGCTTTTGTGCACAAAAAGATGCAGCACCTGTCGCAGATGGACTCTCCCTCTAAGTTTTTCTTCCGCTTAAACAAAACACCGGCCAACACCACAAAAATTTCCAGTTTGCGAACCCCAGATGGACAAACAGCAACATCTGAGAGCGAGATCGCCAAGACCGCCAGGGATTTCTACTCACAACTTTTCGCCGCCGAAACCATACACGACGAGGCTGTCCGGGAGTTACTGGACGGGGGCCCTACATTAGGAGTCCCCGAGCGGGATCGTCTGGACAGCCCCATCACGCTGCAGGAG